CGATGTCAGTGGCGTTCTTGTTGTCAGTTTCTATCCAGATTGCCTGAGTGAATGTCTGGAGGTGTAGGCACCTCGGAGTGATTGTGTTAAGCTAGCAATAAGTCCCTCCCCCATCCACCTTTATTCTTTTCTTTACAATAAGGCTTTCAAATAAGTCATGGTTGTACGGCAGTGAAGCATCGGTGTTGAGCACTGATGTCATGCTGTCGTTGATGATGATGATGATCGGGTCGCACCGGAAAAATTCCATACCACGAAAGCATTGCTGCCTACGTTTTCATTCATGTTTAGGTGTGAAAACAAAAGTGGAACTAGTGACTCATTGCGGTAACCCCTCTCGCAGAGCAGTTCTTCCAGCACTGAAGATACGGACGTTAAATTGGGATACGCCTACTAAATCAAAAATCCTCCCAGGGGGAGTAGAAGAAATGCCGCAAGGGCGCATCCATCTGGTCAATATAAGATGTATCCTGTAAACATCTTTGGGTCGCAAGTAAAAAAATCGTTCAGCTGGAGAACCCTTTGGTGCCTAATTGCCATGCCATCCGAAGGTTGCACGAGGTCTTGGATACTGCCAGGTTGCCCAAGTCTAGACAGGGGAAGTCGAGAGGCTGAGGTCGGGTTCGAACCATGGACCTCATGGTCAGTAAATTCGCGCTCCGCTTCAACCTACCATCCCGCAAGTAATGGGGACGTTACCAAGTCCACCACTAACGGCTTCAGGAGAACTGCAGAGGATTGGTACAGCGAAGCGAAAACGTGATCAGCGATGAGAAGGTGAACTGGTCCTAGCAAGTTGAACTGAGGGATGCAGGTCTACTAAAGTCTGTCTTGATGGCGAGTAAAGGTTGGGTCAGTGTCGAATGCAAAACGGGGACTGCCCAGTTTGATGGGCAAATCACAGGTGATTCGTTTGGTTGACCGAGTTCGTGGGTTCATTGTGTTGCCATCCGTGTGCTTAAAGGAACGGATAGCGCTTGTAGCATGCTCACCTGCCGGGAAACTGCCTAGGGGTGGAAAACTTTAATCAGGTAGGTCGGATCCACGTGCCTTGTTCAGTGTTTGCAACGAGTTTGTCCGGAGAAACAGCGTTTACTTATCGGACACGGGTACGGCTTCAGGTGATAAAGGGAGCGTTCCACGGTCTACTGGACCAATCAGGTGTTGGCGTTAATCCAAGCACGGCTTTTGGTGTGAACCAAGGATCCTGTCGAGATCCTAATGAATCTCTCGTTTCGGATGCTATTCAACCAAGAATACAATCCAAAAGTTGGTTAGTTTTCACGAAGTTTCTCCTTTGTAATCAGCATGCATAAGTCAACCTTCAGGCCTACTTGTATCACAGCGAACTGCTTGCATATTCCTACTTTGAAGTTTACAAAATATCACACAAATTGCATCATTTGTACCCTTCGAAAGAAAAACAAAATATTTGCGTTTGATCATTTGTATGATTGTATTCATCCGGAGTCATACTGACCATTTTGTCACATGACCGGTGCCATCGATCATACAACGGAAACGAGGGGTCACGTGATTCGTTTCTACGCGCACTGACAGCTACGCTTTCCGACATAAATTCCAAAATTTTTACACAAGCAACTCTGCCACAGAAATTTTTTACACCAAATTGAAAGGCAGATGATGACCTGGATGTTACAATATGAGCAGCAGTAAATTGTCTGTAGACGGAGATTGAAAAAAAGTGGATTGTTACCCCAAACCAGGTGAATAAAATTCAGGTGGACGGTGCAGTTTTGCTTCACAAGCTCCAGTGATTAGACGTAATACACTATTCATAAGGTTGCTGAAAATTCTTCGACAACCCATGAACGGTTTCGCCCTTCGTAAGACTCGTCAGATAGGCGCAGTCCCTGTCGATCTGATGTTCTCTTTGATTAGATAATTCATAAGGTGCTGAAAATTCTTCGACAACCCATGAACGGTTTCGCCCTTCGTAAGACTTGTCAGATAGGCGCAGTCCCTGTCGATCTGATGTTCTCTTTGATTAGATAAGAAACGTTAGAGAGCACAACAAGCAATCGATCCCAGCGACGAGCTCAATTCCTGGCCGGAGTAGCTCGCCTGTCATTATGTGATGAAATTGTCTTGGGTGAGATTCGACGACGATGCCGAGTCTGGCCCAGGATGATAAGAAGTGTTCACTTCTATGGTTTCGCAAGGTGCCCCTCGTTCTTGTGTAGTCTTTAACGGAGACAGTAGCATGGCATGCAAGCAAGACTTTCCATTGCTGATGTACTTTTGTCCGCCCTGGATGATGAACTTCACTCTACTCACCTACTCTTTATTATCTTATACGATTCCGAATTGGTTTCTCATTGAACCTGTGAATAAGCAAGAACGGATTTTTCAGATACCCGCAACTGATGTTTCATATAAAAAGGAGGGGACAGAAACGTTTCGTTTGATCACAAATTTATTGAATGGAGTGAATTCAGAAACCAAACCGGCCAAACTGTGGTCGTAGTACTATCTATGAAATCAAGGAAAATTCCACTACTGGATTAGTCCTTCTTGAAGTTCATCAGGTGAGGTTGGGTACTGAGTTAACATTTATATGAGATGGGAAGGGTCCGTGATTGTGGAACAAAATGAAACAAATTTACCACGGAGCAAGCACCTTCCATTTGCCGTTAAGCATTCAATCCCCTGTCAGCAGTCTGATTTCACCACAAGTAGTAAACTACTTTTTAAAGAAGTCGGACGTCTACTTCAAAAAGGACACTGGGAAAACTCACGTTCAAATATGCATACTTCAGAATCCGTTTGTGCGTTAGAATGTGCAAGGGGTTACCAAACACCGGATCGATAACAGGGAGACGATGAAACCTGTATTTGATCAGCATTCGTGCGGCTTCCAAGAGGGAGCTCTCAGGGGACACGGAGATAAGAGGATGCGTACTAGTTTTCGTATCGAATGCTAGTCAAACAAAGGAAAGTAGAATGGATAGGGAAGGTGTTGGGTTGATTCATCAGCGTATGGCAGGACAACGGTAAGCTGTGCTATCAGTATGTATGTCAACACATGAAGAAACGATCGACCGTTGTTTAAAAAAAAGTAACTGGTAAACGCCGTGATCGGAGAGCGTTGATTAGCCTTTCATTAGCATACATATTTCTATAATTAACCAGGGTTACAAGAAAACACACGGACCCCGAACGAATACAATCGTCAGAAGGTTTACATTTGCGTAATGTTCGTAATATGCGCTTTGTTGATACCAACTACACCACCCGATTGCGCGCCTTTATCGATCAGAGTAAGCATTATCCGCCGCCCGGATGTTACAGTCTCACAATAGATTCATTCGTCCCCCACGCATACAGAAAACACCACGTTTTCTTACAACGTCGGACTAAGAATGTCATCCAACCCGTTATTCGCAAGAATTCAGTCGCATGTGTTCTCATCACGTGGATCCGCTGTTCCGGTGTCATACTCTACTTACTTATCTGCATAGTAGTAATTTACTTACCTCTCAACAAGAACATTGTTTGAACAAAGTGCGTGAGGGCTTATGGGTTGTTGTTCCAAGTCAGAAAAGTGTCCGTTTTTTACGACACTTGGACAAATCTCAAAGGAACGATTATACTATATCTTCTTGCCACATGCGTTTCCAAGTTATCCTACGGTAGAACAAAAAATAAAAATGAGACACACACTTGAAAAAAATGAAAGATGTTGCTCAGCCAGAAAATTTTTTAGATGAATGGGAGGAAATGTGAAAAAGAGAAAACGAATGTGACTGATGTTGGATGCGAGTTGATAAGATTTGTCGTAAAGTAATGCTAAACACCGGAATAAGACAAACTCACCGTCCAAGATCTAAGACCTTTTTAGGCTGTCAACAAAAGCTCATTACGCAGTGGCATTGAAAAAATGGCAGAACACGCTCAAGCGTTCGGTTGTTGATGGCTATAAACCACGTATCAAGAGTACGCTAATCACAGCTGCTACGGTTGCGGTCGCCGGAAAATGGTAAGTACTGGAGGCGAGAGCATGATCCGTTGGTTTGGGAAACTTGGCAGCTACAAATTTGAGGCGATAGCTTTGATGCACGGGCGTCACTGACTGCGTGATTGAACCATCTCTGTCAGTTAGGTTAGAAGTTGAGTAGCTATGGATTGAAAGCGATAGCTTTGATGTGTGAACACCACTGATTGCACGATTGAGCCGTTTCTACCAGTGTCATTAGCCATTGGTGAGTTGAGTCCCGGAGTTCCCATTCAGGAAGGCGGCAGTTGCCGAGCCGACTAAGTGTACTGGTTAGTGTTTTCGTACTTCGTTGCCAAGTCATACACTGTCCATCTCTCGGTCACTTCCACTCAACACACCCAACACACAAAGGAACCATGTGGAGTAGGGTAAATTTCCCAGACTGTGAAAAGTGAGGAACTCCTCCTTTTTCCTAGAACCGTCGGGTGTGCCCCGGCATTGCTAATCCGAAGTTTCCACTTGACTCGGTCAACGCATCGGAGACACCGATGGTCAAATACTGGCATATTTCATATATCTGGGATGTAGAGGCTACGATTCTGATCCAGAAATCCATAGGCATCACACTGCCGTAGTGTAAACTCCGTCCTTGACAGAAGAAATGACATCAAGCCGGTGCAGGGGCTGGTAAAGATTGTCCTGGAATCCTCGATTCGAGAAGCAATCTCATTTCCGAGCAGTTCACCGGAACACATATCCAAGTTAACAAATTGATCACCACGTCGATTGGCTGTTCAGCTGACAAGACGAACGGACTTTACGGGCAAATTCTTCTTGGGGAACCGGAAAAACGGTAGTAAAACAAAAAAGCTGAATGAATCCGTAATGCGCTACTCATACGGTCGCTGAAAATTGCTCGACAGCCCACGGCCGGCTTCGCCCTTGGACAAACCAGTTCCGGATGACTCCGTTTTTGGCTGACCCCTAAGGTAGTTCCTCCAGGATAAGAGCGACTGTGGAGTGTAAACGAAGTGGCAAATACCTGGGGATCAAATGGAATCGGTTACTTGCCGTCTACCGGGCTAGTCTTCTATGAGGTGGACAAACCGCGTTAAACCTATGCACATGGATGTGACACGTAATTCGCCGATATCTTGATGGATTATACCGCAAGCACAGTAATCAAGATGAACCTCATTAGGTCTCCACGGATTACTTGGTGATAAGCCAGGATGACCTAAGTATGGGGTGGATAAATAATCGAATCTAATGGTGAAAGTCGAATGTCTTCTCCAGACACACATCGGCACATCTTCTTCTTAGATTTCCATGGAAATATCTTGAGATTTCCGTTGAAACTTTACGAAAATACAATACTTTCGGACGGAACGGGCGTGCATACTGTTGGCCGGGAATCGATGTATATTTTCCAAATCAATGGATGACCCAAAAGCCAAAGTGCGATGTGGAGTGGCACCTTCACAGCTCATACCGAGACTCGTCGGTAGGACTCCGAAGCATTAATTCAAAAGAAAACACTAAATGGCCTGTCAGCATGATGCTCCTGTTGCGTCAACAGCAGGAAAGACATTCAACGACTGACGAAGAGGAATCAGGACAGCCAGTAAGCAGCATAAGAGGCAGTATCGCGTCCATGAAGCGGTAGGTTGACCCGCAAAAAGGCAAACACCCTGTTGAGATGGCCTTCGTGGTCGAAGTAAGATAAACTGTTTTCAGCAAAACACGTTACACGCAGTACAGTGGTTGAAAACAATGGAATTCAGTATGATATATTTCTCGTGAGCCTACAATAAATGAGTTAACGAGGTCACGGGAAAAAATACTTTTACAGGATGAGTGAAACTCCCAGTTGAGAAATCGTCACTCGAGGAACTGGTCAACACGGGATATGGAGTCCGTGATTGAAGGATGAATACTGTTCAAGTGTGAGTTAATCCCACTGGTGACCAGTTAGTCGTGGCTAAGCGGTTACTTGTTCATACTACTGGCTAGGAGGTCACGGGTTCGAAACTCCCTAGAGCTTCGCGAGATATTCACTGCTGATGATTCTGATAAGAATGGAACGGCCGTACAGTGTTCCTCGGGTCTTCAGCATAGATTCGCGTCACTTACAAAACAATAACTCAATCGAAAATGTGATACGGCCTTTCTGCTTCTGTCTCGGAAAAAAAGGGAACGCAACACAGTCGGGGAAGATGGAGAGAAGTCTCCCAATTGAACTAAAAGGGGTCTCAACTTCAGAGAAGGGAAAGCAAGCTTCCTAACCTAAAGTAACAAAGAGTTTACCAGTTTCGCCCGCGACTGGTGATGCCTAGATGTTTGGATGAATGGCACTAGTTAAGTAGCAGATCCTCTGTCGATGCAGCGATCTAAAAAAAAGTCGCGACAGAATACTTCGAGCGGCGTATCCCAACAAACGAGCTCGAACAGAGGTCGGGACCGGGACAATGAAAGCTACCGCATGAAATGTGCAGCGAGATAACTTATACATAAAATGCAATCCTGTTATATCCGCTGATTCGCCAATCTGAGATATCTGCTGCTGACCCGCTCGTGCTCAGTGCCGAAAAAAAAGAAGCTCACAGAAGGGAACACAGCCGCTGTATTCCGAACAAGCGAGTGCGAAAAGTACAACGGTCTCAAGCTATTTATTGGAAGGACACTGTCTGAACCCAGCCCAATGCTGACACACACGGTCTGGCTTTGGTATGAGATTGTGACGTGCTGCATACTGCGGGGGCGTTGTCTGACCTTGATCAACACCGACTCGCGCTGTCCGGGTTTGATACAAGGCTGTGACGCGCTGCATGTTGTGGGGGCGTTGTCTGTCCGGTCAACATCTAGATGAGCTGAGATCCCCAGTAGATTCCGGGCATTCAGTGGTTGCTTTCAGGAAGCTGAACTTCCTGATAAATCCAAACACAATCTCAGCGACAACTGAGAAAAACAGTCAGTCCGTACGACGATTTTGATGGAAACGTGTGGAAGATGAAACCCCTCTACAACAGCCTGGCCTCTCCAACAATATATTAATCAAAATAAATTCACCCGAGAAACGGATGAGGCCGAGAGAGAGTGTCCGTGCTGGTAGAAGCATGTAACAAGGCAACATAATTAGCCAACGACCGTCCGATTTCGGTCCAAACTCTGTCTATCGGTCAAGATGCACAAAGTGGACAGTGATCTTTCGGGCCTTGGCAAGAAAAAGTATACGGAAAGCCAAAGGCCACTTGTTGAGAAGAGCCGAGAAAGGTCCGAACGATATACACCTGCCTGTTGCAACTCCGATTCTGGACGTTCTGATGATGTCAATGAGCTATAACGTGAAACCCAGTAGATCTGTGTACGCAAGGCGTGTTCTGGAACATAAACAAAGCTTTGGAGGCTAATGGAAACAAAGTCCAACCGATACGACAAATGTCAGCTGCACATCAGGATAGCACGTAAATAAAACAGTGTGTACATTCATGTGTCTGTGTAGATGAACGGAATACCAACGAATAATCAGAAACTGGTTGCAAATATTTTTTGTTAACCAGAAAACTGGCATACAAAGAGAATACATGTTGGTGCTTTCCGTATGAATGAAAAAAGACAAAAATGTACAGTAGAGTATTGGAAAAAGACACGAAACTGACACCGAAGTCAAGCGGTGCACCCAGAGTGTGGATTTCAGTGGATAGACAGGGCGCAAGTAGGGTTATGAAAGGTTGACAGGGAAAGTCAGTCACGCTGTGTGCGCGTCCATTCAGAACGCCTGGTTGGCCTCACGGCGACAAGGCACGCTTGTCGAATTTAGTGGAGGCACGCAAGATACGGCTATTGAGGTTGTGGATACGTCGCGGCGGAAGAAAATGCCAAATCAGACGGTTCTAAAATTGCACCTAGCCGGTTACAAATTAGTTGGAAACCTACGTCGTATGTGAATCAGAAAGAAACCTCTGTCTCAGGCGCTTACTTGAAAAATAATCCTTCTTACAAGAACAGAAGCATACCAAACCAATGAATTCGTTGGGTCAAGATGGCCCAAGCGTTTGGAGCGCGAATCTATTGACCAGCAGGTCTGTGGTTCGAACCCGACCACTGCCTCTCGACTTCCCCTGTTTAGGCTTGGCAACCTGGCAGTATCCGAGCCCTCGGGCAACCTTCGGGTGGCGTGGCAGCTAGGCACCGAAAGGGTGTTACAGCTAAACGAGACAGTGAGGGCGAGATGGCTCAGTGGTTAGAGCGCGCACTTACTGACTGCAAGGTTCATGGTGTGAACCCGACCGCTATCTCTCGACTTCCTCTGTCTAGGCTCGCGCAACCTGGCAGTATCCCAGCCGTTATGCTTCTGATGGCATGGCAGTTAGGCACCGATAGGGTGCTACAGCTGAACGATTTTTTAAAAATGAACTCGTTATACTGGTATGTTTATTCGGGATTCGCAAAACATTCACTTTTTATAACTTCCTCACTACTTACACCGGGAAGAGTAGAATTTGAAGGTTTAATAGGCTTTCCAGATCAAATGTTCCGGGTCGGTGGAACCAGGATTCAAAGTATATTATGAATGTACGTAGTTTGTCGGTTCCTCGTTCTTGGTTGTTACCTTCAAAACGCATGAAATGGGTGGATTTTATGTTGTGGAGTCCACTTCTTGAGCCTACATCTTGATCAGGACTGGGCACTGGAAATTCACTTTCTCGATCGTATGTGTCACTTGACACAATGGACGCATCTTACTATTGACAGTAACGAGTTGGTGAAGCGAACAAACTGCATCTTGTCGTTTGATCACCCAAATCAAGCGGATAGGAATTGCTGCAACAGCTCCTCACGGCAAACGTGGTATCTGTTCACGTGAATTCCGGTATATCCTCACCACACCGCCGTTTGGAAGCGGGATGTGCCTGGCCACTGAGGTCCTGACGCTCAGTAAGCCCGCAAAACTTGCTAGCACCACGGGAGACTATAAACAATGACATGTGTACTTGCTCAAAAGAACCAGGCCGTTTCCCAAAGATGCCATAAACAGCGTCACAGACGATGAACAAATGGTCCCATGTGAACTGTTGGAGAATACGTGTGGTTACATTGACATGGTAAACCTCCGGAGGTACCCGAAAGGTTTCGATGGTACTGGCGTGGTTTGTTCACCGTAGTGCGTGCATACTGTGTGCCAACTGTGTTCGAGGTCCTGGATACTAGTCATGCTAGAACTGTGGTCACTGTTCACAACGGCCTTGAACGATGTATACCACAGTGGACCACAACCTCGTGAGCCCAACTTGATGCTAACAGCGTTGGGGACCCTGCTCAAGTGAAATGTTACAATTCAGAAACAGTAAGCTGGTCAAACGAATCGACTACGACTGTCTTTCATTCTTCTTATCCGAACTTCGGGTGAGGATCAATACTACGTTGAACGCAATGCTACTGTGTTTGTTAACGCCTGCGTGTACATCTTGCTCCACCCACGTGGATCGTGAATCGAACCCTGCGTTTGGCAGCTCTGGTCCAGATATTATGTTAATATCGCCGTTCATCAGGCATATTTAATGGACTTTCGCCATTCACGTTACTAGTCTGGAGAAGCAACGAAGAAGACATCGGGCAGGTTTCCAATTAGCTCTCAGATGGTTATATACCGTCGAAAAATCTGCTTCAACTCGTTGTATCGAATAAAAAACGCTCAATGGTCAGTCGAATGACAGATGTGCCGAACCCGTTTTGTTGACTTGAATGTGGAATGGGTTGGGCCGCGATGGCCCAAGTGGCTAGAGCGCGAATTTACTGACCGGAAGGTCTGTGGGTCGAACCCGACATCTGTCTCTCGACTTCCTCTGTCTAGGCTTGGGCAACCTGACATTATCCCAGCCCTCGTGCTCCCTTTGGGTGGCATGGCAGTTAGGCACCTGAACGCTGAACGAACGTTGGGCCGCGATAAAACAAAGCAGACGCTGACATAAGTTGGCGATTTCAGGTCAGGTGACCGACGGGACTCCGCAGTAGAAGTGATGGTGTGGTGCGTCAACTGCCGAGAGTGTAAAACACTGCGACTGGTGCTTGCTTGCCATTGTGGGTTCTCTGCGTACTTACGACACTTTTATGCGTGGCAGATGGTGTTGAGTGTATATTCCTGGTATTGACTGTCATACCTGGCCCACCTTGTGCCTGATGTGACAGCGCTTGACGCGCCTTGAAGAGCATTCAGCATTTTCCTCCTTTCCTCGGTTGTTGGTCTTTACACGCGTGTTTCCACACCAAACATTCCTACATACGTTGGGATTCATCTTGTCTGACTAGAACTGTTAATGAATGTGACGCTTCTGTCTTTTTATCTAATATTCACCTGTAGCCATTCCACATTCATCACCATTTATTTTTTA